ACGTAATATGGTCTCGATTTTCATGGTTTCATTAAATTTTTCTAATTGTAGTTTTTCAGCTGAAGGTACAAAGCTATTGAGACTGTTACTGTCAGATTTTTGGGAATGATCATAGTTCGAAAATGGACGATGGAGTAATGTGATGGAACTTTGGGAGCACTTAAGACTTATATGAACACTATTCAGTTGTTTTTTAAGATTTCTTCGACTTTCTGAACTCAAACAAATGTCGACCAATCCGTAAACATTACGAAGGAGATCATCTATATTCTGAACCAAGCCTTGCACCTATAATTTTGAATGGAGAAAAATACATTTATAACAATATTCTCTGGAAAATGTAACATGCTTTGATATTAGTTCATTCAAGCTTGTTCGTTCTCCAAAATCTTGTAGGAATTTGGTTTCTAATTGAATCACTCCAATACAGTTTTTCCGACTGACACCTTCATACTGTTCATGATTAGGTCTATTTAAAATGTAGAGAATATCTTGGTGAATTTCATTCCACAAATCATCATTCTTCGATGGTTAACACATATCTTTGCTAGAAAAGTTCTTCGCTGTAGTAAGCATGACAGCACTTCACTTCATATTCCTATTCTGATTCGCATTGGTGAATTTGCGGCATAGGTTAACCATAATCCAACAAAGACATTAATAGATTATATTGGTAAACATACATGATTTTCAGAACGTTATTGTCGTGAAGATGATGAACATGTATTAAGGCGAAATTGTTGATCTTATACGAAAATTTATTGATGAATATGTTCGTACACCTAACTTCATTTCGGAATTTGATGATGAAGTAACCAATATTCGAAATCTGTATGATTGGACTGATGAAATTTATAGTATCATTTCCATTAAAACATCTTTAGCCAATCAAATAATCGTTACAAGTCGTATTTTTAGCTACCAGTTACATTCACTTATTAATCCCCGAATTGCACATTGTTCAATCTTACCAATGAATAATAAGGAAGCAAAGCAATTTATAATTGATTTTATATCAGAAATGAAGGAAAGGATTATTGAGGTTTTACACAAAGAAATACCGAGAGCATTCAGAAATCCATTTCAAGAGCAGTTTAAAGCTCTTGAAGACATCTTGGAAAACTGTTCGGAAGTACTGATATCAACTCCATTGATGTTATCTTCGATTTGCACACATGTTTTTCAATCGTCTGATGAGTTTAATTTGAAATCTCGAATACAAACCTACCATTATATCGTTCAATTGACTTTGCGCTCATGGACTACTCAAAACCCAAATATTTCTGAACAAATGTTATTTAATTTTTTAATTGATCTTGCTGTTTATCTTCATTTACAATCATCATCTGGTTTAATCAATGGATTTGATACCGAACATTTGTGTTATTCAAGTTTAAAGAAGTTATCAATTTTTAAAAGCCGTACACAATTGTATACATATGCTAAGGAATTAATATCTTTGTTGGATATGAATGTTGGTATAGTAGCTGAACGAGATTTACAAGTATGTTGTTTTCACATTTGACATTTCGAGAATATTTTGTTGCACAATCTCTCGTAAGAGATAATAGCTCGATCGAAAATGTGACGAACCGTATTCTAGCATATACAATACATTCAAGTTTTCGGGAACCACTTCTTTTTGCTCTTTCGTGGATCAGCTGGAAATGGAGAAACGATGATTATGATAAATTTTGTAATTTATTTGTTTCCTCAAGTCAACATTATGCAATTCCATTTGGAACACTTGTCTTTTTTGATGTTTTCGATGATCTACTAAGATTACCATCGAATACGACTATTTTCAAGGCACTTAATAGTATTCTTGATCATCCATCTGATGCACGAATAACGACATATTTCATACCGAATTTATTTAAATTACATAAAGATATTTTAAAGAAATGGATGCAAGTAGATTTAAGAGATGAACAACGTCTACTCAAGTTTTGTTATTGTCTACATACAGCAAAAGGCGATGTTCATGATAAACCTCTCGACTTGAAATCGAACTTGTCTGTTATCTATGAACAACTATGGTCGTTGTATAATGCAAAGGCATCGCTCACATATACTATTGATCAAACTTTAAGAAGAATAGTATCGTTATTGAAAAATTTTTCCAATGATATTTTGCATAATCGACTGTCATCATCGGTTTTACCACAGAAGAGCAAGGTACCAAGAAAGTTGATATTTTACCGGATATAATAAGCCGTAAGTGATCTGTCATATCATTGATTATTGATTTTATTACTCATAAAGATGAACTTCAAATACTTTTCAAACGATATGAAAATATTCTCGAAAATACTTTATCTTCGGATACTTCAATTGATATTGTCGATACATTCATTGCTTTACTCTGTATACAAGGTCTTTCACAACCATTGATTTATCAGAAATATTCCAAATATCAAGCAGGGTGTGGCTGCGGGTGTGCATTTCGATGTTACCAAGAAGATTACTCGTACCCCACTCAAACCCACACCCACACCCACACCCCACACCCCACACCCCACACCCACACCCACACCCACACCCACACCCATGCATTTGCCTTCCTCTTTCTGACAGATCGAACATCGATTTGATTATAATCCTGATACCATGCCTATTGATACAATACGAATATCAATATATGACAAAGTATGAAATTCTCATACAAAAACATCATCTTTCCTCTGTACTACGTCACACGCAGTGATACTCAGTAAGAAGTTGTGAATGAAAATGAAAAGAAAATGTCTAGTTATACTTTCTGCGTGCGTACTCTTTCCCTTTTACTCGAGTTTATATCCACAACGAAAATTGATATATTTCAGTATATTTCTTTTTTTTCTCATTCCTTCTCTAACACACTATTCAAAGCACTTTAAGCAATGTGTGCTGGTTCGTAAATCGCAGAAATGAAAATTTCAGCATCAACACACAATGTACTCTTATTAAATGGCTCCACGTGACTTGCAGGTGAGGTAAGTGTTGCGAATTCATTTTCGTTTCTTCTATATTTCAGCGTAGATTCACGATAGAATGACAGTCATCCTTTTAAACATAAATGGCGATATTTTTTACGCAATTTGTTTGTCAACTAAGTTAACTATACATATTAGATTGGTTTTGCAGATAAAAACAGAAATTTTTACTGATCGAAGCCTTTTTCAGAGGCATAAATCTAATTCTGTCTCATAATTTTTCTAATCGATAAAAAATGAATTTCAACTGAAGCAACATGAATAGATATCATCTATGCAAAAAATCTGTCAATCATACTTGTTCAAGAAGAATTTGCATCAATATCTAACAAGCAGTGGACTACTGACGTAAACTTGCCTTGAGGGTTTTGGTGGGTGTGCGTGCTGGGTGCCCCCATTTGAGTTTGAATATGTCAGTCACCCAACAGCCACCACTACGCCGACATCTACACTCATCCACACTCATACTGAATCACGTTTTTAAGGTGTCCATCCAATAGGGCTCGTTGAGATCTATGTGAGTTTATGAATATCCTCTGTTGGTCGCATTCATAGGTGAATCGGGACAGGTTTTTTGGAAAGGATTTTTTTGACAGTATTTCTAGTTAATATGTGTGATTGTACA